CACTTCAAAGTATCCAAAATCAGCTTGCTCAAAATAGGCTCCTGCTGTTTTGCCCTGACTACAATCTAAAAAAAAAAAAAAAACCCACAGAGAAAGGCTGACAAATTGAGGCATCACTGGCAATTAATTTTAATTACACAATTGGAATAAGATATTTTAGCTGACCATAGGCCAGACAGAGCACACTACTTAATAGAAAGCCTGAGCTCAATTAAATTAAAGAATGCCATCACCCTAAATACTTTATGTAAATGTTGCAAGCATACAAAAATTATTTATGGATTAAGAAGAGTTAAAATGTTGAGTTAAATAGGGATCTCATGTATTTAATTTTTACACTACTAGGCTATATTTAAAAAAGACTAATTTTTCAACCTTGGGACAAGTGGGCATGACCTGAGATTAAGAGATACAAGTAGTACCTTGATTTCTCAGTTGGTTAACAAATTAATGCAAAGGACATAAACTAATGTTTTAGGCTTGCTTCATTCCATCACAGCTGTCTTCTGAAGCATTTGTATGAGCATACACAATTGCTACTTTAAACATCTTTGCATCGTTTGGGGAAAAAAATGTCCTTTAGGGCAACATTTTGGCCACAAAATTTGAAAGAACAGTTCTCCCCTAAATGGAATAGGCCATGCTGTTTGTTACCTTTTTAAATATATGACTATTAAGAAGTGAAAAGAGAGAGAGGGGAATACTCTTTCGTGACCAATCTCCATAGAGTTACTAACAGGATATTTGCTTTAGTGCCAACGTTTCTCAACTTTGCCAACTTTAAGAAGTGTGCTGGCTGAGGAATTCTGGGAATTGAAGTCCACACATCTTAAAGTTGACAAGGTTGATAAACAGTGCTTTAGATTTTCTCCAAAAGAAGACACTAAAGTTGTTCAGCTGAGCCACTTGGCTGACCTTTGTTCTTACAGTTAAATTTGATCTTCCACCAGACAGAATTCTGGCTTCTTTTCTTTGCCTGATCAACCTGGAAATAATGCAAAAATTTATACAAGGCCAAGCCCAGGAAATAGATTTGTTTTTGAAACCACCTTTAGGTTACAGTGTTCTCCTTTTTCTGCACAGAATGAATGTATAAGGAGATAAGAAAGGCTGTGTGGTTAAAAAAAATAAAAATAAAAATCCCCATTTTCTGAAATCACTGCCACCAGCTAGTTTGGTCCCTTGCACAAGATGTGCAGACGTAATAAGTGAAAAAGAGCACATGCTGTACTATTGTACTATATATGTGTTGATCCCTGTCTCTACCACCACCGCATCACCACACTTTCACAACACTGTACAGATTAGTGAATAATAATAGTCAAACCAAATTTTGTAAATGCATTCACATTTTTACAGCAAACATAAAAAAAAAGTCCCATTGATTCACAAAGTCGGATAACATCTTAATTAGCACAACTAAAGTGACACAGATGTGTATTCAACCTTCAAAACACTTTCAGATAGCATTGAAATATTATTAAGAAGAGATTAAAAGGAAAACATGTGGAAGAAGTACTACAACTCTCAAATCAGGCTGTATCTGTGAATCCTGCTGACCCTTTGTTCTTAAAGTTAGCCTCAGTATGGAGTCGGCAAACAGAATACATTGAATATTACTAGCCATTGCTTTGGCAGGAGTGTCAGACTGGCAGCCCACACATCACATGCAGGCCACATTCACCTCAGCTCCTTAAAGGTAAAAAAAATGTTGTGATATGTCATATGATGTCACATGATGTGATCGAGTGTGACACCCGTGTTTTAGAGCATTAAGAAATAATGGCTATTTTCCAGTTCTGACAATGTAAACACAAAAAAACCCTGTGGTTTCCTATGGAAGATTTAGTTTATCTGCCAGATTATGTAAATACCTACTAAGCACCACTATAATCTCTAATAGGTCCAAGTTCACAAACTGCAGTAAGCCATAGTTTAACTAAGGTTTGTGAAATAAGACATTGAATCTGAGTTTATGAATAATATTAAGCTATGAACAAAGATTTGCAAACTTTAGGGTTTATGGAGCATATTAATCTATCATGTTCAATGCAAAGTATAAATTCATCCTGAATATTAGCAAATGAGTAAATATGCATTTACCTTTTCCAACTATTGATTTGTCTTGGTGTCTGCAGGCAAGAATTAGCTTTATGCTGTAGAACTTGTATTTTTCCTATGCTAATGTTTGAGGTTTAGGAAATTAAATTATACTGAATTCAGTTATTACATACCAGTTGGCAGAACAGCATGAAAGCAAAAAGAACTCTTCTAATCAGGAAAAAAAATGCAGTATATTCATGAATAAAAAGCAAAGTGGTGTCCCTGAGAGCAGAATGGGCTGTAATTACTCATTGTGTGTTTCCGTGCATGTGTGTGAATTATTATGGTCAAGTATTAATATATCCAAATAGATTAATGAGAGCAGACATAGTAATAACATCTCCCAGTGACAGAGCCATGCAGTAGCCTCTCTCCTCTTTCTTAAATAATCTAAATCAAAAGATTCCCTGATGAAAGATGAAACTAGAAAGTACTCTACAGATAAAAGTATTTAACTGAATTGTAATGCTTCAAAGCAAAATTGTAGTGTTGGAAGGTGGGGTGGGGAGAAAGAGACCTACCCATTTTTTTCTTTGCCAGGAATCAATGGGGTTTTGATGTGGCTTTCATTAGCATGGAGGACCTGAGCAACATACTTCCCGTTTGGTTGGAAGTATTTGTAGACAGCCACATGCACCATGCAGTTTTCACTGCTGCTCCTCAGCCATGGGCTCAAAAGGAGGAAGTTCATATTTTCTGATGTATTAAGATACAAGAATAAACCTGCAGAAAAAGAGAAAACAAAAAGTCTAATTACTAAAAAAAAAAGCACATAGCATTTACTTGTTTATCATCACAAATGATAAACCAGTCACAATATTATTTTATATTTGCCGATTTTTATGAATAGCCTGTCCTTGGAGTCTGCAACATTTCCTGATATTCACCTCCCTCTCCTGAACTCAGAGAGAAACTGAGGCAATGCTTCTTCACAATTAACAGGCCCTCACCCACTCCCACCTCCCATAAAACATTGTAAGATGCTAAGTCATTAGATTCCACAAACTTCAGTGGCATCTCTACTGTGTCAAATTAATGGGCTCCTTATTGCAGAAGTCAACAGTGGCTGAAAAGTGTACAGACTACCTGCTAATGGATGGAACAGAGTTGGCAGCAGGACCAATGTAGAGAGCCCTCAGAAGGCCTCAGAATGTGTCTGCATCCTGCTGAGACAGCCTATCCATATTTCTCTGCCAGAATCTAGATGACTGTAATATTATTAGAGTTTTATGCGAGGGAGAGAGAGAACAGACCTAATTCTCCTGCCTCCTATTTCCCCACAACAATCCTATAAATTAGGTTGGGCTGAAAGAGAGTGACTGGCCTAAAGCCACCCAGCAGGCTTTCATGCCTAAGGGAGGCCTAGAACTCAGAGTCTCCTGGTTTACATTAGGAGTCCATAAAGTGACTTTGTTTTCTTAATGCTTTATGGTATCTGACTTTCCCATCAGTACACTCCTCTGTGGCAACCTGATTCTCCCATAAGCCTTCGGTTTTACTGTCTATTTAGCTCTCAATAGGATAATTTTAACTTTCCAAAAACAGAACAGAGTAGAACCAAATTTTTGTGCTAAACAAAATGGCAAAAAAGAACTGAGACTGAATGTGGATTAGAGATTATAGGGAAAGAATCTAGAATTTGTTCACAGTTCAATTTGAAGGCTCTTTTCTTCTCCCTTATCGTAAAGTGACATAGAGCAAGGTTAATTTTAAGTAGCTGGGGGGGACGGGACCCAGTGGCCCTATTCTGCACCTCCTTGGTTACATTACAATCAAGTGGGATATTGGAAAGAAACTGTATACTGTAAAAGGGGCTGGAATTCATTCTCTCTCCCTTCCTCTCTCTCTCTGACAATAATGTTTATTTTATTTTTAGATAATGCTGGCCTTAGATAAAACATATTTTTATTGACACATCAGTTTCTGACATTCTCTTTTTAAATGCGTCTAATCCACAATAAATAGTTTTGTTATTACTTGATACACCGATACTCTTGGGAGTGTCCTATTTAAATAAGTTGACAGAGAGGTATAGAAAGGCTAAAAATAAATGCATTTACTGTCATTTGTATTAATTTAAATGTTTTAGTTTTGATTGGGGCTTCAATTCAACCTGATATATTACTCAGACAGCCAGACCGCGCCAACTCTACTTCTCTCTTACACATTCACAGATAAAATACTTATTCTTTCAGACATACACAAGCATGGGGAAACATAGGGTCTTATGAAATTTTACTCATCCTAATATTTATGCTGATTATGACCATAGTAAAGATTCTATTTGATTTGATTTGATTTGACATTCAAATATTCTTGGCAATATTAAAATGTGTGAGCAAATCCATAGAGGATAAGGTTATCAGTAGTTACTACTTGTGACGCTTAATTATCTGCAGTATCAAAAACAATATATTTCTCTGTATCAGTTGCTGTGAATGAAGGAATAAAAACAATGTTAATTTAGGGGAAAAGTTTCTAAATAAATTCAGCAAATAAGGAGACTAAAGGTAGATATTCTTCATGCATTTTTAGATGAAATACTCTTTTGGCTATAGATACCTACTTCACCATAAAATTGATAAAATGCCGAGAAATGCAGAAGGATTTTTATTTCATGTAATTACAGAAAAATCATAAAAAGATAATATATGGACAACTATCACTGTGAAAAATCAGTAGAAAAGCAAGTATAAATGAAAATATTTTTTAAGGCTTCCATGGACATACAGGAAAACAAAGAGATCAGAGAAGAAATCAGACTAGAATTCTCATGTAAACCCAATTGTCCAGGATCCAATCTGGGTCAGTGAGTGGGACCAGCAGTTTTGTCTTCCAAGCTTTCAGATTCGTGCTGAAGCCCATCTTCAGGGAACTTCTCTCTAGCCAATTGTCCAGGCCCTCACTATTAAATATACATCACATGGACATCCTGCTCCTTTCCAAAGTCCATGATGCTTGAAAAAGTTGAATGAAAAACAAATAGAGAACCACCAGTGGCAAAGTGGATGGATTCAATTCTGACAGTAGTTAATGCATCACTGACAGACCTTGAAGAAAGATCATTCAGGAGTGAATCTATATGGGTGATCACTAAGAGCTGACATTGACTTGAAGATGCTTAATCAAGCAAACAGAGGTAGTCAGGATAACTTGATTTTCACTCAGTAGTCAACTAATACAAAACTGGTGAAAATCTTTTGGCCCTTGAAATCTGCTAATTGTTATTGACCTTAAAGCTAGAACACTAGAACAAGTGAAAGTTGTAGGTGAATGGTAAAATGATACAGCAAGTAGATACATTTGTGTATTTCCATAGAATGTTTACTATAACAGGAAAAAGGTGGAGAAATTTTAAGACATTCAAATACTGGAAGAAAGGTAATCAGTAGTGGCTTGTTGTGAGGAACAAATATTTGTACAAAGAAGCAAAAACAGCCATATATAAAGAAGCTACACATCAAAAAGCTCACATCAAAGAAGTTCCTCACTATGCTGCTTCAGAGATAGTCAAAAAGTAAGGAGGGGAACTTGACACACATTTAGCACTTGGAAGTAATTAGCTAACAAGTATTTCCGACTGTTTCTTTCACAAGAGCAAATACGTGATGCATAGCTACTGCAAAAAAAAAAAACCAACAAATTAACTTCAGTTGCTAGCAGATACACTCCAAAGGTTGGAATAACTGATGATTATAAGTTAGCTGAGTCAAAGGTTCCTTGTTCATATTGGTGTCTAATAAAGGCAAAGGTAAAGTTTTACCCTGTTCAGTCATGTCTGATTCTAGGGGGCAGTGCTCATCTCTATTTCTTAGCTGAAAAATCCTGTCTGAAGACATTTCTGTGGTCATGTGATCAGCATGATTGTACGCTGAGGTACATGGAATGCTGTTACCTTCCCACTGAAGTGGTACCTATTTATCTATTCACATTTGCATGCATTTTAACTGCTAGGAGCTGGGGCAAGTAATAGGAGCTCCCCATATTGTGCAATGCTCCAGATGACAAACTCAGCATCTTTAACAGCTGAACCATTGAGCCCTCTTCACTAGTATCTAATAATGAACACTTTAAACATGTGTAGATAGCATTGACTATCAGTTGCTTTCTGAATAGGTCAAGTTAATATATGAAAATTCACAAAATAAATCTGACCCACTTACCCAATTGATGCTGGTATCAATTGTGAATTGGATCATTTGGCGTACACAAGATCCTGTTTATCCACGGTAGCTAATATTTTCTTTTAAAAATTCTGGTACATAGGCAAATGATAGTAGTTCTAGCTATTCAATGACAAACTCACATGATTTCAGTATTATCAGATAGTAGATCCTCAACCCAGGAGCCAATTTGGAGAGAGAAACATGGCTCATCCCAGTTGAGTTCTGTATTTTCTTTACATATTTGCTTAATAATCTTCTGGTCCAGCTAAATTGTATATTGTATGATGGTGATTTGGCTTGACATTCGGAGCAGAATACCATATGACACTGTTATTTAGCAAAAATACAACTAATTAGGGTATTTACATGCATTGTAAAAGAGAGAGAAATTAAAATGGATTAAGTTTAATTCTGGAAGGAAAGGGAAGAAGAGGGTGACAAAGAAGGAAGCAAAATGGATGGGTTCCAGTAGCAGTGGAAGATCTGAGAATCAAGTTAGGGACCAATTGTCATGGAGAAAATGTATGTGGTCACTAAAAGTTGATATCAGCTTGATGGCACACAGTCAATCAAATGTAATATTCTGTGACTTCAGTAAGGTTACTCTTGATTTGAAGCTACATTTCTGCTACCATATGGTGCAAAAAAACCACCCTTAAAATGAAGGAATTAAGCATATAAAGAGTCTAGAATACATGCATAATCATTTTGCTGAGTTAAGAGAGATCCTTTATTTGAGTCATTCATTTTTATCATTCTATTTTAATATTTATTTCACAGCATTGCAGTTGCATTTTTGTCAGGGCAGCTCAAAATAGGCATACTGTGGACTCTTGCTGCTCAATACTGAGCTACGTGTATTCTCTTCTATTAGGCATAACTGTATTATAATGAAATTCAATACGCAGATTTACAACACAAATCTATATTTCAGTTAAGCCATGCTTCACCTTACATCCTTTTCAAGTGTGCTGGGAAATAAAATAAAAAAACATAATGCAGTATCTCTCTTCATTGATGGAATGCTGTATTAAAATAAAAACTTGTGTGCATATTTTAGGCAACATTCTCTATTTCAAATCTGAATTTTACTACTATAGATGATATATATTAGGAATGCCTATTTCAAAATAACAGAGTTGAAAGGGACTTTGGAGGTCTTTTAATCCAACCCACTGCTCAAACAGGAGATCCTATAGCAGACAAAACTTTTTAACACCAAGTGTGAAAAGGAAGCGTGCAGATGAGTGCGCTCATTTTGTCTGTGCACGTGGGTTTGTCTGGGCTGTAAGCCAAAAGAGGAGCTGCCCAGGGTGCATGCGCATGCACAAAAATGAACTTCCAGTTTCTGATGCAGACATGCGCACCGGCCAGCTGGTCTTCTGGGTTTCTGGCACACATTTGCATGTGACAATCAGATGGCTGGTATGCATGCACATGCAGTAAAATAGAAGACCAGCTCTTCCAGTTTCCGGCACTGCCACACGCACGAAGGTCAGATGATTGTCACATGCACATGTGTACCAAAACCTCAAAAGAGGACGGGGCAATGCTGTG